GACATAAACGTGAGTGCCAAACATTAGCCTCATCATCCACACTGGCACAAATATAGTTCACAGACTTATTGCAGAAATCAGAAAGGGAAAAGCGGAACAGGCCTCCGCACTCATAACCTTTACCAATAAAATATCCATGTTTAGACACGACTACTTTATTAGACTCAAAAACTAACTTAAATCCGTCTCTAGTCAGACGGGAGCCACTAACAAGATTCCTGTCGATAGAAGGGACATGTTGCACGTTCTTCAGCTGCACGATCTTTCCCGAAGTAAACTTCAGATCTACCGTGCCAACTACATGAACAGAAGCATGTGATCCATTCCCCATTAGGACGGTGGAACCCCGTGCGACCTGATAAGAAGAAAACAATGAGATGTCAGCACAAACATGTACATTGGCCCCAGTATCAACCCACCAATTAGTAGACTGATTAACTGAAAAAATAGTAGGTAAATTACCATACCCGCTTCCATCTCCAGTGTTGCCAATGGTCACATTAGCAGACTTAGAAGTCTGCCCTGCAGGTGCCTTCATCCCCTTGCGTTGTGGACACTTCCTAGCCAGATGACCAGGTTGCCCACACACAAAGCAAGTCCTCTCATCCTGGTTAGGATTGTTGTTGTTCTTCTTCTGCTTCTTGAAGTTGGTGGTCTGTTGAGCTTTGTATTTCCCCTTGCTCTTGTTCTGGACCTTGTGCACAACATTGGCACTGGACTGCCCACCATCGCCCTTAGACGCGGCGTCTTTTTCCCGAGCTTTCTCCTCAACATCAAGAGACGCTATCAACCCCTCAACGGAGTATTCCTGTCTCTTGTGTTTGAGTGCAGTACCGAAACTTCTCCATGATGGAGGTAGTTTCGCAATAATGCACCCGGCCACAAATTTGTCGGGTAAGACACACTTAAGGAGTTCGAGTTCCTTAGCCATGGTTTGTATCTCATGAGCCTGTTCGACTACAGAACGGTTGTCAGCCATCTTGTAGTCATGAAACTGCTCCATGATATACAGATCATTGCTAGCATCAGTAGCACCGAATTTAGTATTCAGTGCATCCCACAACTCCTTAGCGTCGGTCATATGCATATACACCTTGACCAGACGATCGCCAAGAACGCTAAGAATGCATCCCACAAAGAGAGTAGTGGCTTCCTCAAATTGCTTCTGGTGATCAGCAGTAAGAATTCCTTCAGGTTTGCCAGTACTCACCCAGAAGCATTTCATAACCATCAGCCACAGAGTGACCCTGATCTGCCATCTCTTAAAGTGCACACCGGTGAATTTATTCGGCCTCAGTGCATCGGCAAAACCAGCCATAGTAAAATCACAGCGCCTATAATAAGGTTTTTGGATTGTTAAAATTATAAACACATAATGATTTAACTTATTCCATAAATAAATTATGACATTGCAGATGTAAACTAGATTGAACGCATCATTAGATCTACACATGTAAACTAAGCAGTAAAATATGAACATATCAAATATGCGCAACATGTCGAACACGTACCGAGGTGGTGGAAAGACCGGTTGCTCGGCAGGAACTACTCGCGGTTGCGAGCGTCGACGAAGGCGCGAAGCACGCGAGCGGAGAGGAAGGCGAGCCGTCGCGGACGAACAGGGAGCAGTCGCGCGAAGCGCTTCCCAAAAACCTTATTGCCGTCTTCTCCCGGTGCAGGACGTCGAAGGCAGAGGTTCCGGAGACCTGCTATCCCGATCACCGGTGCACGTCGGCGAGCGGGATAGAGTAGTCTACGAGCGACGGCGCAGTACAGAGTAGGAGGTAAACCCTAGATTGATTTCGCGTGTGTTGCGTGAAGGCGGCGGCTCGGTTTATATAGAGATAGATCGCCTGATCAGGGCGCCCGCGTAAACCGAACCGGATAAGTCGCGCGTAACCTATCCGGACTCCATGCCGTTTTCACGCACCGGATTTTTCGGAATGTTTCCAAAATAAAACAAATCCGAATTTCCCGTAGCAAAACAAAACTGCAAAAGGCAAAACAAAACAAATCCGAATTTCCCGCAGCAAAACAAAACTGCAAAAGGACGTTTTCACGCACCGGATTTTTCGGAATGTTTCCAAAATAAAACAAATCCGAATTTCCCGTAGCAAAACAAAACTGCAAAAGGCAAAACAAAACAAATCCGAATTTCCCGCAGCAAAACAAAACTGCAAAAGGAGGCTGCATCTGCGCAAGGGTGAGGAACCAATTTTCCGCCTACCAGACATGGCGAGCAAGCGCATGTTTCCCCTCTTCTCTCCACCACACATGCTTCAAGTAGCTAGGAGGGCATCCTCCCTTTTTAGGAGGTCCCCCTCTCCTAGAATAAGCAAGGTGGTACTAAACTCCACATGCATGCCATCTTATGAGGTGGGCTTTTGTGATTTTCTAAAGAATTAATCTTCAAATGGGCCTTAGCCCATCTATTAATTCCAACAGAAAATATAACAAATCATACAAGGACAGCCTCATCCTCAAAACCATTAATTCGATTTATCTAGCTAACATTACAACTGCAATTAGGCTAACACAACCGTGTGAAATTTCCAGTGCTGATTGAGCACAAAGCATGCGGCCGGGGCACCATGCATGCAACGACGACCATTCCAATCTCTACAACCTGAACACACTTACACACGACACCCATGTTGAACTAGAAGCAAGCATTCTCAGCGACAGGAACCACACTAGTGACTAGTGAGCCAACAAGAAGGTGGAATGGGAAGCATGCCCGGATCCGGCGAAGCGAAGAAGGCCGGACCAGAAAATTGAGAGAACGGCTGCGGAGGCTTCACCATCGTCGTCGTCTGGCTTGTGGAGTTGTTCTTGCCGCTGCCGACAGCGTCTTTCTTGGGGCGAGGCTTCTTGTTGATGTCCCAGCGCTCGGCCGACGACGCGCGGCTCAGCGGCCGCTTGTTGCTGTCCCATCGCTCGACGGAGTCCGCGCGGCAGGGGCTCCTGCTGCTGCCGGTCGACGACGCAGGGCTGCCTGGTGTCTTGTGCGCGTCCCAGCGTTCGTAGGAGTCGGCGCGGCCGGGGCTGATCCCGCCCCTGGCCCTCGACGACGACGACGCTGCCGAGCCGCCGGCTTTCTTGTTCTTGTGCGCGTCCCAACGCTCGCAGGAGTCGGCGCGGCAGGGAAGCCCGCTGCTGGAGCTAGACGATGACGATGACGCTGCCGAACTGCCGGCTTCCTTGCGCGCGTCCCACCTCTCGACGGCGTCGGCGCGGCCGGGCTTGGGATCGGAGGCCGGCGGAGCGCGGAAGGAGGCGGGGAGGATGATGAGGCACGGCGTCGGGAGCAGAGGCAGCATCTGGCTCCTCGGCGGGGTCGGGAGCAGCGCCGGAAAATTGCTCGCCGGCGGGGTCGGGCGCAGCGCAGGGAGAACCGCTGCCGCCATGGCTAGCTGCGCGAGGTGTCACGAGGGGAGAGACCGATCGATCGGGTGACTCTGATCAAGCAATTAACCGGAGAGGAGACGAGAGAGCGCGCTGCGGAGTGGAATCACACGACGAATTGATCGGCTGCCACCTCGAGGCGCCCACCTTATATCATCGCAAATCAATTCGACTCCAGTTCTGATTCGGAGTTCGCAGATCGCACCCGCCGAAATACCACAGAAGAGGTGAACCCGCGCGACTGAGATTCGGATTGCAGACTAATGGGCCGGGCTTTCCAATTCGTGGCGCTGTGGAATCAGGCTCATTTTCGTACAGGCCTCTCCTTTGAGAGGCCGTAGTTTAGCCCAGCCCGTGCTCGGCCACATTTCGCCACAGCAGCGGCAGAGTCGCGGCGCGAGAGCTAATTCGCTCCTCCCCACGCCACGCCTTTTTTGGCCTTTTTTTTTTTTTTTGCTTTTTTTCCCTTTTTTTCTGATTACGTTTCTTAATCTTTAGCACACATGTTTTTTAAAAATATTTTGATTTGAAAGTTTTAAATCTTGACTTAAAATTTTTTCAAATCTTAACTTAAAAATTTTTAAATCTCGAGTTGAAAAGTTTTTAAATCTGAGTTGAAAGTTTTCAAATCTCGAGTTGAATGTTTTCAAATCTGGGTTGAAAGTTTTCAAATATCGAGATGAAAATTTTTCAAATCTGAGTGAAAGTTTTCAAATATGGGTTGAAAGTATTTCAAATTTGAGATGAAAAGTTAAAAGTTTTTAAAATTTGACTTAAAATTTTAAATTTCGAGTTAAAAGGTTTCAAATATGGGTTTAAAATTTTAAAAATTCAACTTCAGTTATAAATTTCTTTTCAATTTGTTATTAAAAAAAATTGCGAAAAAGAAAATCCTAACTACTACCGTTATTACCTTTTAAACTGTAATTATAGTCTTGTAGAACTAGCCAATAGTTATTTTGAGAGTTATTTTTTTTAGCACAAGGAAATAGCCATTCAATAAAATAGCTCTAAATTGTTTGGATCCAAGTGTTATTTTTCAGAGCTATTTGGCCTTTAATACACTTTCCTATTAAGTGAGAACTGAGAAAGAGAAAAATACTTTTTCAGTGAGCCCCACCCCAGATAGCACCAATTAGCACCCTTTAAAGGGATAGTTTTTTTAGTAGGTTATTTCTAAATAGACTTGAAATAGCTCATCTGTTTAAAATTTTTGGGCTATTTGAGAATATTTAAGAGAGAGCTAAAAAATAACACATGGATCCAAATAGTGCATAAGACTAATAGATTAGTCTAACTACCGAAACAACCTGCGTCAGGGCGCGCACGCGCCATCCGGACCGTTCACTAACCCCGTAACCGTGTCGCGCGCGCAACCGTGTAGCTCCATGCCGCTTGCTTCGCCACCACTAACCCCGTAACCCGGTGCGCCACCGACCGAGACGACGCACATCTCGCCATTTCTCCAGGAAATCCCACGTACTTTCCCGTGTCGCGCCCGCGGCAACCAGCCACTCAACCACCCCGCGTTTCCAGTCTCCACCACATCAACTCCCCCCCCCCCCCCCCCCTCCCTCCAAATAACCGGTCAGCCCATCACTCCGTCACAGTTCACAGCCTCAGAGGCCCAGATCACAACCACACCACGCACACGTACTTGCAGTGCAGTTGCAGCGCGAGCGAAGCGAGCGGCCATGGCGTTCCGGCTCAGCAACAACGTGATCGGGGCGCTCAACCTGGTGACGCTGCTGCTCTCCGCTCCCATCCTCAGCGGCGGGATCTGGATGGCCACCCGCGGCGACGGCGGCGAGTGCGACCGCCACCTCTCCTCGCCGGCCATCGCGCTGGGGGCGGTCCTCATGGCCGTCTCCCTCGCGGGCCTCGTCGGCGCGTGCTGCCGCGTCACCTGGCTACTCTGGGTCTACCTCCTCGCCATGTTCGCCCTCATCGTCGCCCTCCTCGGCTTCACCGCCTTCGCCTTTGCCGTCACCAACCGTGGCGCCGGCGAGGCCGTCTCCGGCCGCGGGTACAGGGAGTACCGCCTCGGGGACTACTCCACGTGGCTGCGGCGCCACGTGGGGAGCAGCAAGAACTGGGACAAGATCAGGAGCTGCCTCGCCGGCGCCGACGTTTGCAGGAGCCTGCAGGACAGGAACGAGACGTGGGCGCAGTTCGTCGCCGACGACCTCTCCCCGGTCCAGTCCGGCTGCTGCAAGCCGCCCACGAGCTGCAACTTCACGTACGGCGGCGGCACGCGGTGGGGCAAGACGGCGAGGCTGAGCTCCGCCGACCCGGACTGCGACGAGTGGAGCAACGACGCCGACGAGGTCTGCTACGGCTGCCGGTCGTGCAAGGCCGGCGTGGTGGCCGCGCTCAAGAGGGACTGGAAGCGCGTGGCCATCGTCAACGTCGTCTTCCTCGCCTTCATCGTCGTCGTCTACTCCGTCGGGTGCTGCGCGTTCAAGAACAGCCGGCGCGACAGTGTCCACCGCCGCAGCGGCGGGTGGAAGCAGGCCGGATACGCCTAGCGGTTTCAAAAGTTTGAGTACGAGCAGTAACATAACTACTTGTTAATTAGGAATAGTAATATAGTAGTAGTATTAGTTTCTGATGCTTCTGCTGACGCTATATATGTTCGTACTAGTCTTCTGACACCGTGTTTAGCTCAGGATGGCGTGTTACTAGAGTTGCTGGTATTAGTGTTTTATCTATCCAACACTGTAGTTTGTACATGGGATGAGCATATTATGAGTTAACGATCACATGATATTAGTATATTTATTGTCTATCTTTATGACCAGAGTTAGGCTATACTATCATCGAAGTCACTTCCTTATGAGAAAATCCATTATATTGCTCTGAGTTTGTTATAGGTATATGATTTGCCACTGATTTTCTCATGTTCTACAATATGATATCGACTTTTACGTAACTTCTACAATTTACTATCGCCTTCCGGTTAGCCTTCATTAGTAATGTACATTTTTGTCCAAACGACAAAAATCTCCTTGGGACAAGAACTTCCAAAATTTGAAAAATAATTCAGAAATATTATATTATAAACATAAGATTGTAAACATCAAATTTTTTTTGCCAAAATTTGGTTAAAAATTTCAAAATATCAAATTTTAAGTTTTTTGCCAAAATTTATATGTTTACAATCTTATGTTTATAATATGATATTTCAGGATTTTTGTCCAAATTTTGAAGTTCTTGTTCTAGGGATATTTTGATCATTTAGATAAAAATGTACAGTACTAGCGAAGGTTAACCGGATGACGATGGTAAATCGTAGAAATTAAGTAAAAGTCAATGACATATTGTAGAACATGACAAAATCAGTGGGAAATCATAAACTTGTTGTAAACTCAGTGGCATATAATGGATTCTCTCTATCTTTAAAGAAAGAAATGTGTCTGTATACTACTCCTTGCCTCCTTGGTATACGTGTTTTAATACAGTGCTCTAATGGGTGTGTTTGGTTCCCTGCATCGCACCTGGCTCGCATCCACGGGTGCAGGCCTGTGGTGTTTGGTTGCCTGCACGGCCACTCTAGCCTGGCTCCACGCGTGCAAATCGGGCTTCCGAGCCAGGCCCGAGAGAAACGGTCGATCTGAGATTCGCTCCTCATCCGGGCTGAGCACGTGCAGGCGGGGGACGCGTGGGTGCAAGCTCGGGGACGCGCAGGTGCAGGAGGCGAGAGGGGTTCCAGCTTCTGCTCACCTTCCCATCTCATTTGTCGCTCGGTGCCTCCCGTCTCCATCGCCGCACCGTCGTCGTCATCTCCATCATCGTGCCATATTCGACAAAGCCATCGAAGCTTCCTCAACCAGAACCGCTAGAGCTCCTCCCCTCAAAGCCGCCGCCGCCGCCAAATCCAGCTCCGCTTGAAGCCATCGAAGTCGAATCCGGCTCCTACCAAAGCTACCACTTGCTCTCCTTCATCCGAATCCAGATGTGACGACGAGAGAGGGTTGTCACTGCTGACGCCCGGATCTTCCTCCTAGTCGCCGCTGTCACCGCCACCATCGCCACTGCCTTCGTCTACAGCTGCTGCATCGGGCCCTCTTCCTCTCCCTTCTTTCGTCAGATCCAGAGCCCAGGAGCTCGATCTAGTGGCCTCAGGCTTCTGGTTGCCGGATCCGGACGCTTCCTCTCCCTTCTTCCATCAGATCCAGAGCCCAGGAGCTCGATCTGGTGGCCTCAGGCTTCCGGATCCGAATGCTTCCTCTCCCTTCTTCCGTCAGATCCAGAGCCCAGGAGCTCGATCTGGTGGCCTCAGGCTTCTGATTGCCGGATCCGGACGCACTGATGGCGGCGAATCGTCAGGATCCCGCTACTGCCGGATCTACGCCCTGCCACCGCGGCGTAGTTGGCTGTCTCGGCGACGAGGCCACAGTCACCTGCCCTCTTTTTCCTTTTATTTATTTGCTGTTTTTTCTCACCGCTTGGATGAATTAATTGAACATAACAAAGTTGATGCAATACTGTAGCACCCGATATGGTTCATATACTATTTTATTCGTCAGTGCAAGAAATCCAATGACTTGATTTTATATACAGTGATACACTGACTAATACAATCCTATGCATATTTCGCATATGTTAAAAATCGATATCATATACTGTAAAAAGATCAGCGTTGAGATGATAGAAAATTTCATCCATTAGTTATAGATGGTAATCTTACCCTCAAAGAAAGGAGGTATCCAAACCTCCGATCTATACAACGAACCAAACAAAATCTCGTTGAAGTCGTATTTCTCATGCAAGCAATCAAACAGAATCTCACACCAACCAAGCTAAACTCATACAAACAACCAAACAGCTACATATGTATCCCCTCAACCAGATCAAACTCAGCCAGGATGGGAGAGATGGGCCAGGCTAGATGGATACGAGCAACCAAACACACCCAATGTGTCTGTATCATCTGTTCCTTCAGAGGCTTCCCAGTTCCCACCTAGTATGCATACAGTGCTCTATTGTCGCCTTGGTACGTGTTTTAACGCGGCGGCTGATTGTCGTTGATCCCAGTACGAGAATGAGGTATCCGTAGTTATTGTATTGTTTGTCACCAACGCGGATAGACTAATAGTGGGCCAGCAGCATTCATTGTGCTGTGTTTAGATTCTTAACTTTTTTTTTCTTCAAACTTTCAACTTTTTCGTCACATCAAATGTTTAGACACATGTATAAAGCATCAAATATGGACAAAAAGAAAAACTAATTGCACAGTCCAACTGTAAATTACGAGACGAATCTTTTGAGCCTAATTACGTCATGATTAGCCATAAGTGCTACAGTAACACATGTGCTAATGACGAATTAATTAGGCTTAAAAGATTCGTCTCGCAGCTTACATGCGGAATCTGTAATTTATTTTGTTATTAGTCTACATTTAATACTTCAAATGTGTATCCATATACGTCAAAAAAAAAATTGACAATGAACTAAACACGGCCTATCTCAATCTAAAGATTCAAGTTTGCTTAACTTTTCTTGATTAGGAATAGGCTAGGCTTTATTTTAGAGCTTTATACCACCTTCCACGAAAGGATTGGCACTTTCGTTTTGGCACAGCCATATACGAATTACTAAGAAGAGTTAATTGGATCCATGCCACTGCAAATATAACATTAGATCCATGCCACTGCCATCCAGTTTTCTGTCAATCTCCGTCAGCTCTCTCCCTCTTCCTCTCCTTGCTTCTCCTCCACCTTGGCGACCGGCACGACGCACACGATGGCGCGCGAGGTGCGACATCCAGGGGCGGACGCCGAGGCGGAGCTCACCGTCGAGGAAGCGGCGGCCCATGCCTACTCCAAGGAGCCCACGGCGAGCCTCCCACCTACCTCCCCACCACGTGGCCTACCTACCTCCCCACCTCGTACGTTGGTGATGGCAACCGGCCTCGCGGCTCACTTCCAGTCCGTCCCCATTGGCGATGCCGGCGCCGACGCCCACGCTACTGCTGCCGCACTTCACCCTCCCACCGCTCGCCGGCGAGGACCTCACCTCCTCTTCGTAACCGCCCTCCATGGCCACCTCTCCACCATGCTGTCGCCCGCCTCCCGCCTCCCTCTCCCGCTTCCTCCCCCAGCTCACCCCACTCCGCCTCTCCCGCCTCATCCTCCACCTCACGCCCTCGCCCCGCCACGACGATGGCCACCTCCTTGACTCCCTCCTGCACCACGCCTTCCAGACCTCCTCCAGCACGTCCTCCTCACCGCCCGCCTTGCCGTTGTTCGCTCCAATGGCGCCAGTGGTGGCGTGCAGCAGCGGTAGAAGTTCTTCGTCTGCGTGCAGGGGAAGAAGCTCTCCTTGGCCATGCTCGCCTTCTGCGTCATGCACACCCACGGCCTGCTCCCTTGCGTCGAGTCCTGCAACGTCTTCATCTTCACCGCGCTCGGCCTCAGGCTCCCCAAGATCGCCGAGCCTCGCACCAACGCACAGCACCCATCCAACCATCGCCTCCCAGGCAGACACCCCACCGTAGCTTCATCGCCACTGCTGCCAACGCCCATCTCGTCTCCCCGCCGAGAGAGAGAGGAAGAGAGATGGAAGGAGAAGGGGGGCAAAGTGACATTTCACAGGTGAGATTAGACAGAGATTGACAAAAAAAAAACTAGACGGGAGTGGCATGGTTCCAATTTCCCCAAATTTCAGTGGCACGTAGCCGATATAGCAAATAGTAGTGATATTTTTCTAATATGCCATATTTGCAGCGGCAAGGAGCTTATGCAAACATATGAATGATCGCTCCAGAAACATTTTGTCCCTCAACATTCACCTTAACTAAAAGATCCGTTACACACATGCGCCGAACATTACTGATGAACATGTTCGAAAAGGGTACACAGAGTGCTTCAGATGTTCAAGATGGACAGAGTCTTACATAGTAGTAGTAGGTGGCTAGGCAAAGATTAGTTTGATCTTGCTTTGGATATCAAACTGATACTGAACCCTAGGTTCCAGTAGTTGCAGTAACACTGAACGCCAGACCCGAAGGCCACCTCAATCTTCGTCTCTCTCAGGAGGCAGACCACACGGAAGTAGCATTTTCTGCAACACCAGAAAAATGAATCATATATAAATTTGCACCGTACTATCACATTGAAATGACTGCATATTTAAAAATGGCCACCCGTGCAATGATGACCATGATCACCCATGTACAGCTATTTAAAAAGTGACCATCTCTAATGATGGTATCTATGATAGTTAGAACACTTCAAGCTTGCTGAATCAGAAGAGAACCAAACAATATGTACTTGGAAAAGCCATTGGAGCTCATATGGTAGCAAATGGCAATGCAATAGCTTATCCTTTTACATTAATTGAGCACAAAAAAGAAAGATTACAAAGCTTGGCTAAAAGTCCACAGCCCTAAAATTTTAGCTGCAATTTTCTTGTTAGATATTCAGTTGTGCCCTAGCATATTTTCTTAGCCAATGCTGTCGCAGTACAAAACTGAACTATAGATAGTCATATAACCATAAAAACAACGGACTGCTAACAAACATGCCAAATATGTAAAATCATCATTAAGACAAAGATCTCCGCATTTCCTTGCCCATACCATATAGCATATAAGCTGGATCCTATTCAATAGTAGGTGAATAAATAAAATAAAGCCATAAATCCTGATTTGCATCAAACATTCAGCCTTAAGGGCTAAGACCAAAGGGAACACTTAAAGCTATATTATCAGGAAGTTAACGAAATATGTTCTGAATATATTTCATCATTAAATAAGATAAGAAATTAACTTTTTCACCACAACTTTTGCTTAGGTAAAAATTAACTTGGACAATCAAAGCCACTACAAGTTTGAGGACAGAAGATAGAAGTTGAAATGTACAGGTTATCTCATTTAAGATGTCAGCGCTTTTTAACCGACTAGCTATTTGCCCATGTTGCTTAGGTAAAAATTAACTTGGACAACCAAAACCACTAAAAGTTTGAGGACAGAAGATAGAAGTTGAAATGTACAGATTATCTCATTTAAGATGTCAGCGCTTTTTAACAGACTAGCTATTTGCCCATGTGTTGCAACGGATGGAAAATAAATATAGTATAAGATCTAAGTTAAAACACAAAAATAATCTAAAAAATGTATATTATCATCGCATAAATTTTTTTTAGCACTACATTCGTACATGCATAGATCCTACACACAAATCCAAGGAGACCCATGTCTATCGCTGGTCCTTGCGCAGTTGCGCCAGAAAACCATTGATTCAGTTTGACATGTGGCAACACGGTTCAGTGATTATACCAACTTTGGTTGTCTACCTGTATGATTGTCTCTGCAAGTGGAATAGTTGAACTCAAGTGTAATGATGCTATATTTTGATGAGCTACCACAGACCAGATGCAATACATGTCCAAGAAAACGATTTTCTTTCATTTTTTTCCTATTTTAGGAGCAGTTCTACATCAATATTAATAAACCAGATAAGTCCAACATAATTTTCAACTACCGTACAGAAGACATGTTATAATAAGCTTTTAACATACCTGCATAAAATTGTAACGCTCTCTTCCAATTGATTCATTCTCAGCAATGGAAAAATATGCCAGCATTGGATAGTGCCCAATATAGGATGCATAGCTATCCCTTTGGATGTTTACTGCCCATTCACTGCAATAAAAGAAATCCTCAATACTAAGTTACTACATTCCCAACAACACATTTTTGTTTATTTTGGAAAAAGATATACTTACAATCGATTCAAGTCAGCATGCCCTGTGCCCACATATTTCGCTTGAAGATGCTCAAGTTGAGAATTTATGTTGAACCTGTCGCTAGCCTTTAAAGAAGATGATTTATCATATCAACATCATGGTCAAAATACAAAAGGATATTACCAAAGTTCATTGAAAAGGTACAACATATTTAAACTGAATAAAGCTTAATGCAAAAACAAAACAAACCCTAGCAATATTCAGTAGAGATCTCCAAAATCAGTAAATGAATGGAAAATGAACATCAAGGTATCTGATCTGAAGTATACAATAGCAGGTGAGCTCTAAGACTATCACATGACAGATAAGGACCTAACCAATGGTAATAATACGAAAATGAAAAGATAATGTAAATATCAAATATCTAGAAATTTTGATTGCTTGACAGAGGTATTATTCGTCTTCAAGTGAACTACTATGTCAAATACTTATATTGAAAATATCAATCAATCAAAGAAGTAGACCATACAGAACACAGTCTGTTCTCACAAGCAGACTGATAGATCCAATTGTTCCTATCACAAGTATTGACTTCATGTTAACATCAATTTCCCAAAAGTAAAAAACCTTAGTATGCCCATTCCAAATTGTCCTAAGAGGGAATCACTAAACCTGAACACATCAACTCAGTTTTGAATCACTAAAAGTATATGATGCCACGTAGCAGGGTGTGCACACCCCTGTAAATTGATAACAAACCAGAGGCTATAATTACTACCGAAAAACTCAATACAAAAGCAGTCCCAGATAATTGATGATTCAAGATCAAAAAGGAAAAAACATCTATTCAAACGTGAACTCAAGTGTTCCAGCACCAAATACATCATATTCCAAACAGATCTGCATCAGTTGGGCAGCACAAAAAAGAAAAGAAAACCACAGTAGTGAGTAGCATGGTGATATGGGTCAGAGACAACTAACCTGCATGATGGCTGACGGGTTTGGTCTTGATCCTGGACAGGATAGTTGAGATCCCTGGAGTCAGAACCAAGCTAAAATTAAGAGAACACAAGCATGAATTAGGGCATATTCCACAGTAAACCTCAGTCACAAAACAATTGGTATGGGGCACAATCCATATGAAAAACAAATACCAAAAGCACACAATTGATACAGATATGCAAATAAGAAAATAAAAAGTTAAGAGGCAGAAAGTGCAAAACTGAACTATGGCAAACAGTATGCCAGCAATTTTACACTTGCCGATGGAACTGGCACATGTGGGATCCATGATTGCCATTCACTCACTCACTCACACCAAGCTTGACTCAATAAGAAATTCGATGTGATCATCATGCAGTGCTCATCAAACTTCTTACAACTATGTACAGTATTATCTTTTAAAATAAGTAGTGTGCACCATAAAAACACTATTACTAACTAGGTCGTCCTTCTCACAACAACTAATCACTGAGGATATTTCTTCATCAGACAGCAACGAAATATAGAAGTGTACTGAAAGGAAAAAGGTTTTTTTTATATAGGCATAGACATTCTAGTTGTTTCATTATGCTTAGGAGGACACTAATAAAGCAGAACTTTCCATCTCTCATATCCAACACATCATTTGTTTGCCGTACATACAAAACAGGGAAAGGATCAGTGCAAGCTTAACAGATGCTGCATCGCTGGTCCCGTTTCAAGCTATTAGATAGGTTGATTCCAATGTTGACATCTCTCTAACTACGTACTACTATCGACCCAAGGTCAGGACCGCAAGTTTTTCTCAGATCTGAATTTTCTCAAATTCTTTGTAGAATAGCAACTAATCGTCCTAACAATCATTCATTCCCACCAATAATAATATAGTTTCTTCGAATCCAGCACAAAAACGGTGCGAAATTGAAGAGGGTAGGTGGGGATAAATTTTAGGGTTTAGGGGCATACCTGACTTCAAACGTGGGGAGTGAACCAGAGGGGGGGCCGGAATTAGGGATGGGACGACGCCGTGCGCCGGCGCCTTCTGCAGCGGGAGGGGACGGTAACAGGGGGGGGAGGGGTGCTCCGTGCGCGGTGCGCGGTGCGCCGCCGCTCGACGGCTTCTCCTGGCTGTGCGCCGCCGCCTTGGCTGGACGAGGGTGTGAGGGGCACACGCCGCTGGGACGATTGGGAAGCAAGGCGAACCAGGAAGCGGTGCGCAGTGGGGCCTGCATAACAATCTAGCCCAATAAATATCCATGAGCTAACCTCGTCCAGCCCAATCCATGGGTTGTGCACATTTCCTAGCCCGCAGCGAACCCATGGGTGGCCAACGAGCAGCCCAACCCATAACCGCACGTACTACTTTGACTTCCTGATTTGATTCGAACTACGGGTGTGTTTGGATAATGGGAAATAGGTGGTGGGATTGAAATTGTAAAATGAATGAAGGGTTATGATTAAATGGAAGAGGAAGAATAAATAGTTATGATTTAAATATGTCTTTTGGTGGGTGGGAATTCAATTCCCTATCCCATTAGCCAAACACCGCATATCTTTCAACCACAGAATCGGGTATATTTGTGGATGTCTTGAACCGATGATTTGCGTTGAGGTGTGTGCTACCGTTGACAAAAAAAAAAGGAGGATAGCATAGAAAGGGCCTGTTCGGTTGCATGTCTACGGCTGCGTCGTGTGTGTGTACGGCACTGTTGGTGCCGACTGCGCCGCAGCCGCAGCACCGACAGCCAAACAGGCCCAAAGAGAAAATCAATTCCATGATCTCTTTTGTTTACCATAATACCACGATCTTTTGGTCGAGGCCGCACATCTACAACCAGCTGAGTAAGCTACCGATCTAGTTTTATTTTGCACATGGATGATGTAATTACGTTCACGTGATTTTTTCCATAAAATTTGTCGTGTGATATATATCCGTAAGGGCCCATTTGAATCACAGGAATGAAAAAACAAAGGAATAGGAAAAACATAGGATTCTGACATGAATAAAAGTGTAAAACAAAGGATTACAAAACATAGGAAAAATGTAGGAATGACCGTTTGATTGGACCGCAGGAAAAACACATGAATTTGAGGAGTGATAAAGACTCAAAAGATTTTTTCCATGAGGTTCTACCTCTTGTTAAAATTCCTCTAAAACTTGTATGGGAATAGGCATTTCATAGGAATTTCATAGGATTCCATAAGGTTCATTTCTTTGATTCAAAGGACTTTATAGGAAAAATTTCTATAGGAATAAAATCCTCTAAAATTTCTATGAATTTCCTTTGAATCAAAGGGGCCTAAAAAGGAAAACATTTCAGTATTCCTATATTGGACACTTTGGAGTCTTGGACTACGCTGGTCTGGTGAATGTGGTCGGGTACGGACTGGGCTAAACTACGACCTGATCAAAATGGGCCTGTCACAGCGCCACAAATTGGGAGGCCAGGCCCATTGTTTTCCAGTCCGTATCTCAGTCGCTGAGTCCGAATCTCAGTCGCTGAGGCCCTGTTGATGAACAGCCCATATTGATACACATGGGCTGGGGTGGCACAGCGCAACGAATTGCAAGGCCCGGCCCACTATTTTTCAGTCCGAATCTCAGTGGCGGAGTCCCCCTCTTCTGCAGTATTCGGTATTCCGACTTCCGAGGGCGATCAGAGCGGTGCATGCATTCAGTGGCGGTGCGAACTCCGAATCAAAGCGGGAGTCGAATTGATTCGTGAGGATATAAGGTGTGCGCGTCGAGGTAGAGGCCGATCAATTCGTCGTGCGATTCCACAGCGCGCGCTCTCCTCACCTCTCCCGGTTAATTGCTTCGATCGCTTCGCAGCACGTACGCATCGATCATTCTTGGTCAGACCGATCGATCGGGGTGGGGTGCTCACCTCGCGCAGCTAGCCATGGCGGCAGCGGTTTTCCCCGCGCTGCGCCCGACACCGCCGGCGAGCAAGTTGCCGGCGCTGCTCCCGACCCCGCCGAGGAGCCAGATGCTGCCGCTGCTCCCGACGCCGTGCCTCGTCATCCTCCCCGCCTCCTTCTTCCGCGCGCCGACGCCGCCGCCCTCCGATCCCAAGCCCGGTCGCGCCGACTCCGTCGAGAGGTGGGACGTGCGCAAGAAAGCCAGCTGTTCGTCAGCGTCATCGTCGTCGTCTAGCTCCAGCAGCGGGCTTCCCTGCCGCGCCGACTCCTGCGAGCGTTGGGACGCGCACAAGAACAAGAAAGCCGGCGGCTCGGCAGCGTCGTCGTCGTCGAGGGCCAGCAGCGGCAGCCCCGGCCGCGCCGACTCCTGCGAACGCTGGGACGCGCACAAGACACCGGGCAGCCCCGCGTCGTCGACGGGCAGCAACGGGATCCCCGGCCGCTCCGACTCCGTCGAGCGCTTGGAGAGCAGCAAGCGGCCGCTGAGCCGCGCGTCGTCGGCCGAGCGCTGGGACATCAACAAGAAGCCTCGCCCCGAGGAAGACTACGCCCTCTGCAGCGGGAAGAGCTGTTGGAATTAATAAATGTGTGTACTATCGCCATGGTGGGGTGAGGGAGTTATTTTGTGCTTGTATGTTGACGACATACTGATATTTGGGACAAACCTTAAGGTGATAAATGAGGTTAAATCATTCTTGTCTCAAAATTTTGATATGAAAGATTTGGGAGTAGCTGATGTTATCTTAAACATTAAGCTAATTAGAGGTGAGAATGGGATTACACTCTTGCAGTCCCATTATGTGGAGAAGATCTTGAATCGCTTTGGCTACATTGATAGTAAGCCTTCTCCAACACCTTATGATCCTAGCTTGTTGCTTCGCAAGAAGAAGAGAATTGCTAGGAATCAACTGGAATACTCCCAAATCATTGGCTCGTTGATGTACCTGGCTAGTGCAACTAGGCCTGATATCTCCTTTGCTGTGAGCAAGTTGAGCCGATTTACCTCTAATCCGGGAGATGATCACTAGCGTGCGCTTGAGCGAGTAATGCGCTATCTGAAAGGTACTGTGGAATTGGGGCTTCACTATACTGGGTATCCTGCGGTACTGGAGGGTTATAGTGATTCTAACTGGATCTCTGATGTGGATGAGATCAAAGCCACTAGTGGATATGTTTTCACACTGGGTGGTGGTGCTGTTTCATGGAGGTCTTGCAAACAGACCATTTTGACGAGGTCAACCATGGAAGCAGAGCTAACGGCACTGGATACTGCTACTGTTGAGGCAGAATGGCTGCGTGATCTATTAATGGATCTGCCTGTTGTTGAAAAACCGGTGCCGGCTATCCTTATGACCTGTGACAATCAAACGGTAATTGTCAAAGTGAATAGTTCTAAGGATAATATGAAATCGTCTAGACATGTGAAAAGACGATTGAAGTCTGTCAGGAAATTAAGAAACTCCGGAGTTATAACGTTGGATTACATCCAAACAGCGAGAAACCTGGCAGATCCCTTCACAAAGGGACTATCACGAAATGTGATAAACAATGCATCGAAGGAGATGGGTTTGAGACCCATGTGAGTTATACTATGGTGGTAACCCAGTCTATGTGATCGGAGATCCCGTGAATTAGATCCTGGGAAGAACAAACCATTAGTAAACTAGAGGAGAGTATCAATATATATACCCTCTCCAAGTGAAGATGCATGTACTCTCGTGAGCTGCAAGGCAGGTTGGCTATGCCTTAATGAGTTCTGTTGGCTTTAATTAGCGAAGATGTTGTCCTGCAGAGCATTCTTGAAAGAACTCACCTTTGTGAGCTTGACTGTTGGTCGCAGTCTATGAAGATTTTGGGTGAATCTTCTAGGAAGCTTACTAAAGACCTAGGAGTATGACTTATACGCTCCACCCGAGGGGTAGTCTACAGACGGTCTAGTACCAGATAAGACTTTGAGTGAAACTTGCTTGCACAAGACTTGCAATTCAAGGCGTAGTCCATTGTTCAAGTTGTGAGTAAGTGTAGCTTGGAGTTCTAGGTGGATGTTCAACCTTAATTGGTCTCCATCGAACCGCTGGTATATAAACAGTACATTGGAAAAGGCAAATCTCAGTGGGATTTTGAGATTTGGTGGGGGATTGTTGGAATTAATGAATGGGCCTTAGCCCACTCGAAGATTAATTCTTTGGAAAATCACAAAAGCCCACCTCATGGGATGGCATGCATGTGGAGTTTAGTACCACCTTGCTTATTCTAGGAGAGGGGGACCTCCTTAAAAGGGAGGATGTCCTCCTAGCCACTTGAAGCATGTGTGGTGGAGAGAAGAGGGGAAACACACGCGCGCGCTCGCTCGCCTCGCCTCGCCTGGCAGGGCAGGGCAGGGCAGGCGGCGCGCGTGCACGACGTACACGTCGAATGGTCCGAAAAATTGGCTCCTCACCCTTGCGCAGATGCAGCCTCCTTTTGCAGTTTTGTTTTGCTGCAAATTCGGATTCGTTTTTGTTTTGGAAACGTTCCGAAAAATCCGGTGCGTGCAAACGGCGTAGAGTCCGGATAAGTTACGCGCGACTTATCCGGTTCGGTTATGCGCAGTAGAGATCGTGCGGGCGCCCTGATCAAGCGACCCTTCTCTATATAAACCGACCCGCCGTCTTCACGCAGTATATACGCAAAATCAATCTAGGGTTTGCCTTCTACTCTGTACTGCGCCGTCGCTCGTAGACTACTCCATCCCGCTCGCCGGCGTGCACCAGCGATCGGGAGAGCAGGTCTCCGGAACCTCTGCCTTTGACGTCCTGCATCGGGAGAAGGCGGCAATAAGGTTTTTGGGAAGCGCTTCGCGCGACTGCTCCCTGTTCGTTCGCGACGGCTCGCCTTCCTCTTCGCTCGCGTGTTTCGTGCCTTCGTAGACACCTGCGAAAAGTTTTGACCAAGCAGCCGGTCTTTTCGTCACCTCGGTACGTGTTCAATATGTTGCGCATATTTGATCTGTTCATGTTATACTGTGTAGTTTACATGTGTAGATCTAATGATGCGTTCATGCTAGTTTTCATCTGTAATGTCATGATTTATTTATGGAATAGATTAAATCATTATATGTCTATAATCTCAACAATCCAAAAACCTTATTATAGGCACTGTGATTTTACTATGGCTGGTTTTGCCGATGCACTGAGGCCGGATAAATTCACCGGTGTGCATTTTAAGAGATGGCAGATCAGGGTCACTCTGTGGCTGACAGCTATGAAATGCTTCTGGGTGAGTACTGGCAAACCTGAAGGAGTTCTTACTGCTGAACAGCAGAAGCAATTCGAGGAAGCCACTACTCTCTATGTGGGATGCATTCTTAGCGTTCTTGGCGATCGTCTGGTCGAGGTGTATATGCATATGACCGACGCTAAGGAGTTGTGGGATGCACTGAATACTAAATTCGGTGCTACTGATGCTAGCAATGATCTGTATATCATGGAGCAGTTTCATGACTACAAAATGGCTGACAACCGTTCTGTAGTCGAACAGGCTTATGAGATACAAACCATGGCTAAGGAACTCGAACTCCTTAAGTGTGTCTTACCCGACAAATTTGTGGCCGGGTGCATTATTGCAAAACTTACGCTCAGAGGAAGAAGCCTCGCCCAGAGGAAGACTACGCTCTCTGCAGCGGGAAGAGCAACTCCACAAGCCGCACGATGAAGACGACGACGAGTGCGCAGATGATCAGCAAGCCTCACACGGAGACAGTGGTGAAGCCGCCGCCGGCGCTGCTGCCGTTCGCTGGTCCTGCCGCCTACTTCTCTGCTCCGGACCCGAGCATGCTTCCCGTGCCCACCTTCTTGTTGGCTCGCTGTCGCTAGAGTGTGCTTGCTGTCGCAGAGAATGCTCTGCTTGAGTCCGACATGTGTGTGTTCAGTTTTTAGAGATTGGAATGGTTGTTTGTATAATTGTATTGTGTCCCGGCCGCATGCTTCGTGCCTGGTTAGCTAGAACCATTTTGACAATGAGGCTATCCTTGTATGATTTGTAACTTCCAGTTATATTGAACTATTGATTTGCTTGATCCTTCTCTACTTAGTGATTACAGCGAACATGACGTCTTAATTCAACCGATTGTCTTAGTAGTTTACCCTTGGATTTATCCTACAGCCCTACTGAGGCTGCATAAGTTGCAGTCACACCAGCGACTGCACGGGAACCTGATCCTAAGTGTCACCTAGGCAACAGCCCAAATTAAAAGTAAATTCCTCGAAAATACTCCCTCCATCTACTTTTGATAGTCATATTTCATCTTGGTACACAGAACAAAGATAAGTAATTCTACTTATCATCTATTTAAACATGCTACTAGTCATTCCTCGTAAACAAGTGATTCATTAATATTTACATTTATCGATGCCCATGTAGCCAATCTTGTGTGGAGGAATGGAGAGTCACATATTAAATCTAAAAAAGTCATTAAGATGATAGGTTGTTTGATTGAAATATGCCTATCAAAAATAAAATTTTCAGATATGAAAATATGACTATCAAAAGTAGATGGAGAAGTAGATGGAGGGAGTACCTCATATTGTGGTTTACATTACTACTTTAATTTTAACATGTTACACATAATCACGCGTTATATGGTTCTACTAAGATTTCATAAAATCACAATATTAACCAATCTAACCTAACACCGAAGCAAAATAAAAAATAATAGTTAACTTCAGGTGTCGACAGTGATGAATTAAAATAAGTCATATATTTTAAATAAAAATTACTCATATGTATGGTATATAAAATAAATTAGTTAAAAGTGTTTTATGAAACTATAAAGCTATAATATTTTTTTAACTTCTGACAAGATAAATCAATTATCAACCTTTATATGTTTATAACGGTGTTTTATGTATATATTTCAGAAAGTACTCAGTACAATGATACATTGTACCAGTAATTGATACACTCGGTGATATATTATAGAATGAGATAGAATCGATGACAAATGATTAAATTATCATAAATTTATTGGTATAAAATAGATTCTCTCAATTAAGAATACTCCACTCATGCATCGACTCATCACTCGTACATACTACGTGTTTCTTGCAAGCGCGACTCTTTTTTTTTTGAAAAAACTCCATTTTACATCCATCGACAATAGCCCAACTTTGATTCACATCCCTAAACCGCAAAAGCATATATGGGACATCCTCCAACTACTAAAATCAAATCATTTTATGTCCCTAAGAGGTTTCATCCTACTTGACACATGTGCAGCAACATGGCTGCCTAAGCGGCATTTCGGTATAAGTAAGTAAATACGGTGGTGCCCCACATATCAGTGACATGTTTCTCTCCTCTCTTTCTCTCCCCTCTCATTTTTCTGACTCCACTCACACCGACCGACCAAAGTGGCTGCGGTGTTCTGCATCCCACCACGGGGCATGCTGTTGCACGTACAGTAGGCGTTGGCAGCAGATGCATTGTGCACAATTAGATGGAGATGCTAGGGCGTTCTTCCAAAGAAGCTCCTGCGATGCAGGACCAACTCGACGGCATTAACAAAGGTGAGCCCCCGTGCTTCGGGCATGAAGTTGACATCAAATTTTTTGGAGCCATCGGACGGGAGACCTCACCATGCCGGCGCCACACGGTGGCAAGAAGGAAGCAAGCAGGAGAATGTCCTCTCCCACCTCCCCGCCACTCACCCCTCCTTTCTTGCGGAGGCACAGCTCAGTAGAGGCATCTGGTCGCTTGAGCTCCGACCGGCCTCACCTATGCTCGACATGATGTGTGGCGCGTACCTTGAACTCACTGAACTGGCCGTGGATCTTTCTAAGAAAGTGGGGGATCAGGAAGAACGAGTGGTTGAGGAGGAAGCTAACCGAATCTGGCGCCGGGCCCGTACATGGAGGAGTGTGAAGAGGAATAGATTTCTTGGCGGACGACTTCATCACTAAGGATGACGGGCGCAGCCTCGGCATCATCGACGATGCCGGAGGGGTGCCAAGGTATTTCAGAAGCTGCAGACCATGCCGTTTCGTTCCATCTGCCTCGTCAGTGTGCCACTAGCCAGCCTGCCGAAAGCCAAGCAATGAAGATGGCTAGGCGGCGATAGGTCCAAATGACTGCTCGAGCTCGGTTGGGGGAAGAGAGATTAGCCTTCGAGCACGTGCGCCGCGGCCGCAGGGGTGCATCTGCTTGCCGGCTGTCCCCATTCCACACTCTATCACTGTCTCCTTAGCCCGGTTGATGCCACACCGGCCCCTACTTGCTACGAGAGACCGAGACCACAACACACAGTAAATCACATTACTAAATCCCTTAATAGTGGTGGACATAAATTTCTGAACGAAATTGAGTTAGGTTGTTTTTCCCTCTTTGAAAAAAAGAAGTCACTTTTTTTTTTTAGAAAAGAAAATCGTCACTGGTGGCATATGGTCCCGTGGTCCAATACCATTGGGCCGAAGGCCCAAACTCACCGTCAGGTTCCACGTCTTCTCCGCACGTGGATTCGTGGCTCGCCACGTGTCGCCCTCGAAATTCTGGAAGCCTCCAGAACGCGCCACGTTAATCCCCTCCTCCTTCCTCGTCTCCTCTTCGGCTCTTCCAGATTGCCATCTTCCGCGATTCCCTTCTCTTGCAGTAGCATCGACTCAAATCAGAAAAACCCTCGGGCAAAGAACTGGAATTCGAAATACCGCTCGAAATTCGGGAGCACGCGCGACTCGATCGACATCCATGGAGAAGAAGGAGCTTCTCGGCGTCCGCAAGAGTCCGCCGCTCACCAAGAGGCGGCGCAAGGTGACGGCTGGTGGCGCCGGAGGCGGGAGCATGGCGAAGGCCATCGCCGCCTACCTCGCCTCCGACTCCTTCATGTACGCGCCGCTGGTATCCAACTCGCCGCCGCCGCCGCCGCCGCCTTCCTCGCCGCCTGCGGGAGCAGGTTCTTCCGGTTAGTTACCAACTCCCCCCATTCTCGTAAGCATCATGAGCCCTAGAATTTTCTCGGCGTGGTGATTGCTAGAATCCTAAGCGCTAAATTTTCGGGCGGGCTGGGCTTGATTCCTCTCTAGAACAATGGCCTCATCGGCCCAGATTTAACTAAGAGGCCGCTAGATACAGTGCAGATTCCGTGCTTATTTCGAATGCCATCTCTATTTGTTAGCGTGTTGCTTCGTTGCATCCTACGGTGAACCAACCGTGGCTAGCATTTGTTTTGTTAGAATACTGGATTTTGTGGGTTAAGTCTTAAGAAAGGTAAAGTTTAGGAAGGATGCAATTTTTTTCATTTGTAGTGAATGGTGATACAAAACTACTGAAAAGAGCAAAATGGAAAATTGTCAGGCAACGTTTTGTTGCCCACTAGAATTCAGATACTTCTGGTAAAATAAAAATAAGTCACACTAGTCACTAGGTACTGCCTTGGAAAACAAACGAGAACACTATGAAGTCAAAACTCTGTGTATCAAATGTTTGGACTGCACTTCGAGTTCGAGGCAGTTCTACTGAAATGAAAAAAAAAAGAGAGTAAGGGCCCCTTTGAATCAAAGGATTTATGTAGGAATTTTATAGGATTCAAATCCTATAGGAAATTTTCCTATTTGGCCCTTTGATTCAAAGGATTGAAGCTTTTCAAATCCTATGAAATTCCTATGGAATTGCACATTGTATGTAGATTTTGGAGGAAATTTAGCAAGAGCTCCAACCTCTTGGAAAATTTCCTTTGAGTCTATCTCTCTCATTCGATTCCTGCATTTTTCCTGCGCTCCAATCAAACGACCATTCCTGTGTTTTTCCTGTGTTTTGCAATCCTCCGTTTTACACTTCAATTCCTATCAGAATCCTGTGTTTTTCCTATTCCTCTATTTTTTCTACCCTGCGATTCAAAGGGGCCCTAATAATTGAACTTCCAAAAAAATGTTCATTCCCTTCAATCTCAGCCTAGAACCCCTTGGGAGGAAAAAAAACAACATTACTAACAATGATGTCCAAAAAACTTTCTGCAGCCTTCGACGCCTTGAGTAAATCAACCCTCAATGCATGCATGTCCATCTATTTGAACATGCAGCTATTTGGAATATCGCTTTCAGTGAACAGTGAACACATCCTGCATTCCTGCTTTGCATGTTAATTTTAGATTTTCAGTCTAACACAGTCCTGCAAGGTGTTCATTTATTCACATTACAAATGTATTGTCATGCAAATTGTGCAGATAAAATGGTAGCTTTGGTGCAAAAGTACAGAGGCTCTTGGCGAGGTACATTTACTGCATGCTAGAAGAATTTGCAGACAAGTTGGAGTTCTTCCTGGAGTTGTAGCCTTTTATCACAAGTGTTAGTTAATTTTTGTTTTCTGCTGTAATGCATAGATGTTGTACCTTAACAGTTAACTGTCTGCTAGAGTTCCTATACCCTGTAAAAGGCTAACTGTGTTAATGTGGGGAACTCATTTAACTATCAGTACCTTGTCTTGTGTGCTCTCTAATGCAGCCACACTTTTCACATGTCAAGTACATTTTTCTTCTGTTTGAATGGCATTCTGTACTAGTGTGCTATCACTTTCTTGACTCCGTTTCGCAGTACACTAATACATTGCCTGATACATTGTGATGTGGTTTGATCTTTGTAAGTTTGTAACATTTGTATCGTTGTATTACCTACTTTTCATTGGAAAGTGCCACCGCGTTTGACTGTTGTACATATTTGGTATGTCAAGTACTGACTTATCTTTCTTACGAATGTGGCATGAGATGCGTGCTTTATTTGTTTCAGAATTAGTGACATTTCCAACAAGCATATGTTTATAGCAGGATGAAATAAGAGATGTGGCATTAATCTCTTGAAGCATTGGGGGTTGTAGACTTGCTTCTAGTCTGAATCTCTTGCAAATTGATATTGTTTACTTGGATAGTGCTAGAAATAAGAGATTAATAATTTCTCCCTTGTTGGCACTTGCCTAATGCCTAATTGGGAGCAGCGTTCTTTTTTGAATTTAGGCCAGGAGCTCTGGCATTCAATATAGAAGAGAGTGAGCATCAGTGCAGGCAGAGGCTGGCGGCCTGGCGGGCGAGGTGCGCAACCAGGTCACCTAGCTGATTGCATGAAGGTCAGTTCTCAGCATCAGTCAATATCATTTGCTCTATATAATTTTTACTCTTCCATTTCTAAAATGAAATTAAAAACAATTATGATGAACCAGCATTTTGGGAAAGATATAAACGGTCGTCACACACTAAGGAATCTATGACCTGCGTTTTTAGTAATGTTTTGTTTGATGAGGTTGCAAAACCCCCTTTCGAGTGGTAGTTGGTGGCTTGGTGGGCATAGATTAGAAAAAAGCATGAGACTTTAGGTCTCTTGGGCCACTTATCATTGTCCTCCCTGTGTAACATTGTTTGGGTCTAATAAGGTTAGTCACACGCAACCACGAGCTCGTGCGGACGAGGGCAAGCATGGACAATTATGAGATCTCTTCCAATCTAAACATGGTTGAATATGACCACCAGCTTTGTTGGAACTTATCAGAAAGTACATTTCCATGACCATGCCTGAGATTTTTGTGGTGCTACCTATGGGGATATGGGGAGATTGAATTAGTGGTCCGCGTCATGAGAAATCCCTAAGGAAGGAAGCAAAGGTGGCCAATCTGAATTAGTTGGAACAGAAGAACAGGACCAGCAGCCACATGCGTGCACATGGCCTGGAGCCCCCACATTTGCATAGGTTTGCTACTGAGTTTGCATTGCATTTACCTGCAAGCTAATCTTGGTTTGCTCGTATGGTATTTGATTGTACTGAGCATTTTTCAGTGCAATGACTGGAAATCAGGTTTGGGAGACGAAGAATTTCATGGTTTGGGTGGGTGTTGATTCACTGAAAGTATTAGATGGCATGGTGAGCTGGTGCTGTTCAATTGACATTTCTTGTTCTTTTATGTGAACCTTTTCTGGGATGTGTACTCGACACTTAAAATCAAAGTTGAGTGAGCCAGACAATCATTGGATGGCCTTGGACTAATTGCACCGAAAAGAGGCTATTAGGCCTTGGCTTTGCTCTTCCAGGTCCTGCAGAAGCTACCGGTTGGTCTAACTGCTTAAGACGCAGGAACAGTCTTGTGATGGTTGTTCACTTTCGCTTTCTGCTGGTGAAGCGACTGTCACCTTTATAGCTGCTGTGATCAAGAAATGCTCATGATCAACCGTGTTCAGGTAAACGCTGCTAGATATCTCTGTGATTTCTATTCAAGCTAGTGATTGAATGCTAATTCATGCCAAATCAAGATTACCAGAGACACTTTTGTGAAACCTGTGAAGGTGTGTGACAATCATTGCATGTCTGTTTATGAGGTAGATTCTATCTGCAGGCAGAATTTGCATTATGGATATGCTTTTGGGAGTGCAGTAGTGCACCCTGCTCTGCTACATGTGAAGGCAGATGCACTAAGCTAGAGACCCACGCCACCACCAGCACCCTTTTAAAATAAAAGTTCTCATCGTTGCCTCTATTTTGTCTTCAGGACAAAACCCGGGGGGGGGGGGGGGGGGGGGAGAAATCAAATACTATATGTTCTCTCTCTTTCTGATCTTCTCCTTCATCTTTTTGATGGGTATCTGTAACATCTTATCAAGACGCATGCATCATGAGTCATATCTCTTGTTTGATGATTGCCGGTTGCTTTGAGAGGACATCAGTTGTCTTGGCGCCTAAAAGTCTCCTACTAAAACAACATTAGATAGATCCATGGCGTGGCGCATCCTTGTCGTCATGCCATCTCCATATGAATATTCATATTCTTCTGGTGCTTGGAGAAGTATAACTTCTGCTTCCGAATGCTGATGATGAGATATCCAAAGCGATTAAGACTGCTCGTTGTTGTTGTGAATGCTAGTACCACAAGTTTCAGAGGTTTCCTGGAAATAACGAGATAGCTCAAAGTTCAAAGCGTAAATCATTGTTTGTCCGTGTTGAGGGTTGGCTAGGGAATTCAGCCATGTAGTTTCAGGTATAGCTGTTTTGCTTTCTGCGTTGTGTTCCAGATAATGCCTGGCTGCTCCTGAACCTATGTGCTAAGAGTTGTCATTTATTTGATACTCGAGCCTGTGTAGTGTATGACATGTGACATTCTTGCTATCCTGGCTTCAAACAGACTTCCTCTGGTTTATTCATTCATTCTCTAACATGTGCATACCTTCAACTTTTCTTTGTTTAATCTGAAATGTGTTATCTCTTCATGTCATCTCCTGGCTGAATCCTGAATGGACCACATCCTAGTATTCATCAATTCTCATTTAGTCGTCATATGTGGCTCAAGCCCTAATCCAGTAATCTGCCGTTGTTTCAATTGGTACACATCTGTCTTGTTGCAGGCTAATGCTGAGCACATGCTACTCCAGCCAGAGCCCTGTCTACGTTGGATAGTCCAGATCGTAGAACCACACAAACAACAAGCTCAGTTGCTCACACATGGATGGGCTCCAGGTGCTGCAAAGAAAGCCATACCATTATTTGCGTCTTTTGCCTGAGCTAAATTCAAGTAATCTGGTGTTAGCTTTATGTATTGGATCTTGTGTGGTGAGATTGTTTTAGTTGTTGATTAATTTCGTACTTATGCTTTCCCTTCCCTGTAGTGCGTTTCAGTCAAAACTAATTTAAATTTTGACCAACGAAATAATTTGCAGGTATTTGGATTGTGTTGGATTGGATGAACATAAACTAAGATTTTTAAGAAGACTGCAAAAGGTACAGTTCATCCATGATTTCTGCCTGGCTTGGCTGTGTCTTTAAGTGGCTGAGCGGCTTCATGTCTCCAACATGGTATGTGCAATTGCTTGTTTAATATGTGGATATTATTTGTGGGGAAACGAAGTTGTTTGTTTCTGGCCACATAACCTGCTTTTGCCTTTTGGCATCTTCGAAAAAAATAAAAAGGTTTTTAGATACATGCATATTTAAATCCTAATAAGGGTTTTCTTTTGTATGGTTTGTGCTGAAAATCTAGGAACTGTTTTTAGACCGATGCCAAATTTACCTCATCTCACACCTTGATGGCTCCAAATTAGCCTCCCATGGTTTTGCTAATATATTTTTAAAGAGAAATTTTACGGTACATTGAACTACAAGTATATACTACCAGTATATTTGATCTAACGGTGTAAATTAATCTGATCTTTCTCTAAATTATTCTGCAGTATAAATTAAATAGAGTATATTTGTCTTTTCATCTATTTGCGTGGGGGTAATTTTGTAAATTCGCATTTCCTCACTTAGTCAGATCTGATCGATAGGCGCCCAGTCAAAGCCGCCACTGGGGGGATCGTGCCATAGGCGCGCAGCTGCGGCAGCTCGCAGCAGCAAGGGCAGCCGGGCGGCGGCAGGTGGAAGCAGCAGGGCGGCATGCGGCATTGCGGCAGCAGCAGGGTAGGGAAGCCCGGAGGCGGCGATAGACTATAAGTAATGCACAAATCACAAATTAATAGTTCTACTAGACAAGGACTCTTGTACGACCTTGACCACCATAAAAGTTCACAAATAAACCAATTCACAAGTGTTTGTAGAGAATTAGACTTGTTAACTTAATTACTTAGAGTTGAACTAATTAGATAGAGCTAGATAGGTTTAATTATTGCTTGTGTATCCATTTTCATTGAAGCGGATGAAGCCTGAATCATCAAACAAGTCTAATGCACACATGCAGTAGTTATATCTTGTCACGGGCTCAGGCTTAACACTCAAGAGAACTTATATCGCTAGAGACTGACGGAAGCAAGTTCCTAGAAGCGGACAGCTGCTGCTGGGCCCGACGGCGGCGATAGTTTTGCGCACGACAATGGCAGTACGGTGGCTTTGCTCCCAGCGAAGACTGTGTCGCTTTCGGCTCCGGCGGCGGCGACGGCGTCGTTGCGTACGAGGAGCCACACGCGAGACAACGTGAAGGCAGCTGCCGACTACCCAGTGTACCGCGTACAGGGTAGACTGGATTGGTATCACGAACGGATGACGAGATCCGAAAAATACCATCGATGGAAAATAAATCCCGTTGGAAAAAATCTCAATTAAAAATGACTAAACAACCCCTTTCAGATTTTTAACAATACCAAATCTACCCTTTCATATACTACAAGTATATATTTAAAGTAGAATGTACCGTAAAAGTCCTCATTTTTAAAAGGGATAGGTAGGGGGTATCTTGCCATAGTTTGATAGAAAAAAAACCAAATGTTCGTCGACGAATCTGGTTAAGACATGCATTGGTGAGAGTTGGCACCAAACCAAACATCCCTCTACTACGAAACCGAACAAAGCTCAAGACCCACATTTGAATGTTGGATTTCTTTTGTTTCGAGTTCTTGACAGAACTGAATAACCTGATAGTAGTACAAAATCATGACACAACACAACGTGTCACAAACAAAGTAGCCATGGGGGAGAAGATTGAATGCATTTGCCCTCACAGGTCACAACACCTATCCCCAAGCACAGAAATCCTGGCCCTACACAAGTTGCCACGCCTTGCAAGGCGCCATCCGCTGCTGCGTTGGCAACTTGGCAGGGCTGTAGCTGGCTGAGAAACGCCATGGCCATGGACCTGGAAGCCTGTAGCTGAGCAAGCATGCATTAGCCTGGCTGTGAGTGATCAGATCAGCATGCACGAAGACGAAGCCTGAAGGGAATATCCCACATGGCTGTGCTGTAAAATGCAGAATCTTTACTGTCACCGGCCTTCAGCTCAGCTCAGCTCAGCACGCTCGCTTCTGCAGGCTGGCTGGCTGGCTGCTGCAGCCAGCGCTTCCCTTTCCCCAATGCTCCGACAGGGGAGAAACCCCTCCTCAAGGCTGAATTTATTGTCACCCACTGAGAGACAACTTGCTAGATATAGATTAATGGCGACCTAGCTTCTTCCTTCCTTTGGGCAAAGCCCAAGTTTTAGTACTCTGTACTCCAATCCTGCTTCTTTCCTGAATACAATTAACTCAAGTAGAGAGATTAATCACTAACTTATCTTTGTTAAGGATAACAAACACATGGACTTATCTTGATGTAACCTCAACTTTGTTGAAAGCTTCTTGTGATTGAGTGATGACAGATTGACAGGGGGTAGCAACTATCAAGAACGGAAGAGTAGAGCCAAAGAGTACACAGTGTAAGCTAGAGGCCATCAGGGAGCAAGGCTTGGCACGCACATGCCGTCCTTGGACGCTTCCCCTGATATCCCAGCTGCTATCCATCTGGTCAGCAGTAGTATATGCATGATATCCATTCATCCAACCATCCACACACACTACACATGAATTTAAACCCCCCCGCACGCACGTACGATGCTGGCAATGGCAACAAGCCTCTGTCTTTCTTTCTCGCTCTTCGTCATGCCATCCTTTTCAAGTATAGGATTGTAGATCACCAGTTGATGTGACATGTTGAGCATATATTCCCCATGGGTAAAAAGGATCAAAATCCTGCACAGCCTCTAGCTAGCTCATCACCATGCAATGCATATGCATGCAGCCCCATCCATCCGTCTACCTGAAGAAATGGACTTGACAATGGCAGGAACTATACTTCTCTTTCAGTAGCAATGTACAGCCCCATTTGAAAAATATATCTGATTGGTCGAGACTAATTAAAAAACTAGTACTCTACATTTGAGTATTATTCTGCTTTCATTTTTAATATAGCAGGTGCTTATGCGTGTGTTCTTATCCAGAGGGGAGAGACTGTGCCATGTTGATCAGGTCTGAAGAATCATTTTATTTTATTTTTCTTTTTCCTGAAAACTTGGTGTTGTTTGAAGAATCCTTGACTCTGATGATGAGATTCTGGACAGGGAATTCCTTGTCTCACCTGTTTCACTTGGCGAGAGCCTGATCTAACAAGATCCATAGCTGTCCCTACTATGTAGTAGCTAGCTAACAATTTTAATCATCCGGTTGATGATAATCAGCACATGGATTTAGTCCCCTCAATATTCTGCTCCTTTGCTTTGGACGCTTGCAATTAGGCCTGGCTGGTATGGTAGGCACACACAGACACAGCTGCACGTCCTGATGATGGGTTATTGAGTAGTACAGCCACTAGCTAGTGACTCCATTATTTTGTAATGCGACAAGGTGCCATGCATCCAAATGCTCCTGTACCCACAGAGCTGGATTATCACTTGTGTTGCTTTTCTTCCTCTCCTTGAGTTTTGAATGGTCGCGTGTATTTATCCACACGTACTGTATAATTGTACTTTGCTGATAGCTAGCTAGCTATGTAGTAATGTTTTTCTCATTGCATTTAATCGATGAAGATGGCGAGAGTGCCATGAAGAAGCAAGAAATTTGGATCATGATCATATATTGATCGATACTTGAATCATGCATGCATATTTCTTCATTTTCCCAGCCAACTAACAAACACCAGTCAAAACATTTCCTTGGTAGTAACAACTGAAGAGAATAAACGGTTTGGCTAGCTTTGATTCTGCAGCTAGTTTAGCTAGCCAGGCTAATTAATAAGTGATCGATAATTAACGCACTCCCATATGTGACCAATTAACCAATAATCACATATTGTATTACAGGAGGCACATGATATGCTACTACACTACTAGTTGTGGGGGGTGATAGAAGATGGGAGAGAGCTAAGCTAGCTGAGAGAAAGGGGTAGATCAGAGAAATGGAGGTGGCTAGCTGCTCCTCCCGGCCTTCGTTCTCCTTCCTACATAGGCTACATGTACAGTGCATGGCCGGCGACACTGGCATGCATGCAGAACGGCGATGGCGGCGGCGACATGGCTGTCCGTGGTGCATATGCATGAGCCTAATTAAGCGCCGTAGATGGCGGAGAGCTTGCGGAGGACGGCGACCTTGACCTCCAGGGCGCAGATGTACTCGGCGGCGCGGTGGAGCAGCGCGTCGACGTCGGCGCCGCCGCCGCCGCGACCACCGCTGCTGCGGCGGCTGGTGGCCGGCACGATCTTCTTCAGCTCCCGGAGCCGCCTCAGCACCATCAGCTGGAACGGCCTCCTCCTCCTCAATGACACCATCCCTCCACCGCTGCTCCTCCCATTGCTCCTCCCCACTGCCACCATGGACTTCCTTGTCATCTCCCTCTCTCTCAACAATGTCTGCAACTACTACAATATGAGTTGTAGGCTTGTTGTATTGTGTGTGTGTGTGAGTGAGTGAGGTGTGAGGGTGTAAAGGGAGGGGGTGGTGTATTTATAGGGGAGAGCAAAGGCAAGAGATTTCACTTGGCCATGTGGGAAGAGGAGAACTAGGTTCTAAAGCTGTAGACTTAGCTGTAAGGAGGTATACTTGGAGCCATCAAAGGCCATCAGTTCTGTGAGCTTACCATATCTTATGGGTATGGTCAGGGGCGGATCCATGAATAAAAAGTTGGGGGACTTAACATACAGAGTATACCGGCATAAACGTATCATCTCAGTATTAAACTATCCTAAAATACTATTAAGAGACCTTTAGCACCTTCTATCTTATCAACAATGGTGAAAAAAATTGAAGAGGGGCTCGGGGGTATCCATGAATCCGTCCCTGGGTATGGTAATCTTCGTTTCTAACGAAGATGAAGACGAAGTTAGAACCAAGAAAGTAATTAATATGTCATTAATTAAGTTTTAATTATTACAAACTTAAAAATAAAATTATCTAATATTTTAAGGCAATTTATTTATATATATATATTTGACTTAATTTCTATATATATATATATATATATATATATATATATATATATATATATATATATATATATATATATATATATATATATATATATATCGACTTAATTTCTATATAGAAAATTTTCACACGTATGTATCGTTTTGTAGTTTGAAAAACGTGCTAATAAAAACTAACGGAAAAGATGTATCTTAATCAGAAAAAAAGGGGTCATATGTGCAACTATTATTGGTTGAGGGGTAGGGTGTCTCCCTGCTTTTAGTTTAATCCAAAGAGGAAAACCTATATATTAAGAGCCTCTCAGCCCCTCATGGTCATATAGCCTTGTAGGTAAGGGTGTATGTTTTGTTTTGTAGTACTATTGCTTAATTTTTATCCATCTTTTTGGCTTTGTTAATTTCTCTTGTGCTGGTTTTGGAAACTATTTTAATCCCTGAGGACCCTTATTTCTTGCATGTGGTTTATCTAACTATAAAAAGATGGAGAAAAAATAGCCAATATATGCTTGTGTTACATATCCTCTTTAAACATGCAAGGTCAAATTTAGTCTAGAAATCAGACAAAAGTAGTCGCATTTGTAGTTAGATTTGTTATTTTACTCCTACACGTTTATGAAGAGATATAGGCCCTCTTTGTTTAGGCTTAGGCTTATTGGCTTAAACTTTTAATTCAGCTTATTGGCTTATATGATTTATAAGCCGGTGGATTTAATGTCCTAAGTTTAGTGGTTGAGTCATACATCTACCTCATATAAGCCAAAAAAGCTTCTCCAACCTAGCTTTTGGCTGAATAGTGTTAGAGTGGCTTATGGCTTCAAAAAAGCTAAATGGAAAAGCTGCTTGTTTGTTTAGACTTAGACTTTTTGACTTATAAGTTGGCTTATAAGCCTAAACAAAGAGGGCCATAGAACACGATAATATATCTATGCTTTCTAATTCCCTTAGAATTGTCTGTAGCTATTTGGACCACATAAGAAAAACTTGGGCACATGCCCTATGTGGGCTTACAATCTATATCCTGCTTGTTTTCATGTGTTGTCATGTCACTAACCAGGTCCATTTGACCTGGGTTTCAAATTGAATATATGCTGTTGTACTTCTCTTGTTATTTAACTTATCTGTCAAAACACAAATTTAAGTGATGTTCCAATTTAGGGTATGTTTAGTTCACGCTAAAATTAGAAATTTGATTGAAATTGGAACGATGTGATGGAAAAGTTGGAAGTTTGTGTGTGTAGGAAAGTTTTGATATGATGGAAAAGTTGGAAGTTAGAAGAAAAAGTTGGGAACTAAACCAGGCCTTAAGATAAAAACAGGCGGGTGATGATAAGACAAATTTGACCCAGTGAAATTAACCTTTTTGTTCTGAGTTCAAGGATCATACTTTAATTTGTTCTAAGGCCCTCAAATAAATTCTTCCTTCTGTTTTTTAAGATATATCGCCGTAACTTTTTAGGTATGTTTGGTTGAATAGTCCCACATTGGTTGCCGGACCTAATATATAAGTTGGGGAGCCCCTCACCTCATTAGCTAATTTTGAGGCGGGAAAGACCTTTTACCATCCTACAATTGGTATCAGAGTCTGGCTAGATCAACATTTCTGACCTGACGGACAGTGTGTGAAGGCCTAATGGACCGTGGGTGCTTGCGGGGCCGGTATACCTGAGGGACCGTGGGAAAACGGTGATGGGACACCAATGTATGAAGGGTGAGATTGCTGAATAGTCCCACATTGGTTGTGGAAGGGTAAGAGATCTAATATATAAGTGGGGGAATCCGTCACCTTATTGGCTAGCTTTTAGGATGGGAAAGACCCTTTACGGTGCTACACGTTTGACTATTCATCTTATTAAAAAAATGTAATTATCATTTATTTTATTGTGACTTGATTTATCGTCAAATGATCTTTAGCATAACTTTTTTTTTACATATGCACAAAAATTTTCAATACTACCAATGATCAAACGTTTATCAAAAAGTCAATGGCGTTATATATTAAAAAAACAAAGGTAGTATTTCCTCTAGTCATAATATTTGACGCTTACCATAATATTTTGTCCAATTTCTTAATCTTTGACTATAATGACTTAATGCTTAGTTTGAAAAATGTAAATGTAAATTTGCCTTGATAAGTACTATAATAATATCATAAACTAATTCTATTTCATTTATGGTTTTCAAATATATGTCCCAGAATTCCATGTCCTAAACATGCATGACCGTCGTCACTAGATGAGTTGAGTACACGATATGATGGAGGTAAGCTGTGTTGTTCATCTTTCTGCAGAAAGGGTGAAGAAAAGTGTGGCATAAGACCTGCACCTGCTAGCTGGGGGACGTGTAGTTGTTGTGGCGAGAGGACAGCTCGATAAATTGGGTAATAATTGCTTGACGTCTCCACGTCTCGTGCACTTGTTCTTCCTTGTCATGGGGCTCTGTCCTCGCATGCAGTCCATCTCAATCCAACCTGATGCCAAAATGGCCACTGCACAAATAGCTGCTGAGATCGCAAGCGACTGGACATATTAATCAATTGATTAAGCCCACCGGCACATAGGGATTAATCACCCTCTTTTAATCTACATGGTCCACAAGAAAAGCTTAGGTCCCTTTTGGATTGTGCTAATTCTGCAAGAAATTAAATTTTTGAGGAAAAGTTGAACACCCATTCTCTGACGAAAACTGAATCTTCCGTTCTACGAGGAGAAAAACCCTCCTTTTCGAGTGCACGGAGCTTACAACAACCCGTTGCACACCCCTCCTTCCTACGAGGATTCTTTCCTACTATGGATTATAGTGAATTGGTAAGGCTTTACCCCTTTGGCCTCCTTTGCCAACCTGTACTTTTGTTGAAGCGTTACAAAATTTCCACCGGAATCACCTTAATTTGTGTAGGAAATATTGCTAGGTAAAATAAAATCCTATGCTTTAGTTGAAGCTTAAGAGCTTATTTAAACAATCGATAGGTTTGTCAGCCTGGTTTTTCGTTGGTTAGTGAACAAGGCTAAAATCGAAACAATAAGCTAAATTGATCAGGTTAGATAATAGATGGAGGTGCGGGGATGGCTAGCCATGAGTAGCCGTAGCATAGCGGTTAGCCAAGGTACTAGCTAGTGATTGCAATAGCTGGGGTTGTGTCGAGCTTATTGTCGGTCATGCAAAATAAGAAAATAAGAAGGACCTAGAAGGAGAGCAATACGCGAAAGATATGTTTTACTATCGCTGAGTGCGAGGGACAAACCTATAGATGGGGCCTTATAGATGGTGCAAGGCCCGAGCCACCCCAATCTAACTTGGGTTGCGTTTGTATTAGCATGGTAATAATTTACGCTGTGCAATTGACCTTTCGTTCTAGGCCTTGGGTTATGGGCTATGGGTTAGGTTATCCGGGGCTTGGGTTTTACCATACTTATGTCTCAAGTTGGACAGCCCCTGAGTCTTACCCTACCTATTTTTTTATATGACACCTTTGCATTATTTTCCTAACAAGCTACATGGTTTAATTTCTTCTTTGTCCTGCCTGATCACCTCTGTAGCTGCCCCTATGCTAACTTGTTGCCCCACAAGAACTTATATAACCAGATGGGCAATAACTGTTTCACCTCTGCATCAACCTAACATAGCCTATCTACCTCTTTCTCCATAGACGTAGGCTCTGTTTGGAATTCGGAAATTCATTGTTTCTTGCAAGAATATAATTGAAGTGTTCAAATGAAGTTGCTGCCTTTGTTAGATGAGATTTGCTCTGGTCTAACAAAAAGTATCTTGAGGTACCGATACCTCACGGTACCAAATCATTTTCGATCGTTGGATCTAACAATGGCTATCCTGCCCAGCTAGATCCAACGATTGGAAATGATTTGGTACCGTGAAGTACCGGTACCTCGAGGTACTTTTTGCTGGACCGAAGCAAATATCTTGTTAGATAGATCAGTGAAGTAGCGTTGCACATTATTAATTACTGGTCTGCAGTACCATTGGTAGAGATGAACTCCGGTGAGCTAATAATCTAGTCCTGTCAGAGACAAAATTAAGGTATGTTCATTTATTTGTCATTGTTAGCTGCAATATGGTTAAAGCAAATGCCACAGTTCTAATCACCGGATATGGTTAGCAATGGCTGCAACAATCATTGGGAAGTTCCATGTGATCTTTGTCAAGTTGTGGCATGAATGTTGCCAGAAGCTAGCTAGCTGCAGGCTTCCATGACAATGTTTTCACTGTCACCAGGTGCCCAATTGCAGCACTGGCCCTGCACACACATGGCCAATTTGTGCTTTTTTAATAAATTAAATCATAGGGTACTGAGATCTGAAAACCCTTTCGATCGGATGAAGAATAACTTTCAATATATTGATATAGAAAGACTGGAGGGGCGAATGCGAGGTGTATGTTTCGTCTAATTCAGTATTTCATAATATCACTGATGAAGCTGAGGTCATGATAGCAAAGGAGAGGATCTGAGGAGATGATCAAGCCTGTTTTATTTTCCCCTTTTATATCCTTTCT